GAGATTGGCACAGGATAGAGCAGGGTTTAGGGCTGTTGTACATAGGGTCGCTATGAGTCGCAAAAGACTCGACGGCACATAACAACAACAACAACTTTCTAACAAAAGTATAGAATTTTGTGATCATTTAATTCCAATTTAACTGTTTTCAGTGATAGTTAAGGACCGGAACATGACAGTAAGTAACAACTTGGCATTGCAAACTTATTGCTATCAATTCAAGTCCAATTCCTAGTGACCATCTAGGACAGAGTAGAACTGCTTGGTACGGTTACCAAGTCTCTAATCTTTCATGGAGACAGACTGCCACATCTTATCTCTGTGTATTAGCTGCTGATTTTAAACACCAAATTTTCACTTAGCCGTCAAGTACTTGAACCATTGCATCACCAACAACTCCCTTCATGCTTACTTTTGCTTTTTTTTTTAAATCTAAAAACATGGACTGGTATTGTTGTTGTTGTTATGTGCCCTCGAGTGGTTTGCAACTCATAGCAACCCTAAACCCTGTCATACAACAGCCCTAAACCCTGCTCTATCCTGTGTCAATTGCACTGCCTCTGACACACCCATCCCGATTACCCCAGTCACTAAATCAATCCACCTCATAGAGGGTCTTCCCCTCTTGCACTGTCCCTCCACCCTACCAACCATGATGTCCCTCTCCAAGGACCTGTCTCTCCTTACAACATGTCCAAAGTATGTCAGATGAAGCCCCAGAATCCTTGACTCCAAGGAGTAGCCTGGTTTAACCCTCTCCAGGATGAATTTGTTTGTTCCCTTGGCAGTACATGGTACATTCAATACTCTTCTCCAGCACCACAGCTCAAAGGCATCAATTCTCCTTCTATCCTCCCTAGTCATTGTCCAACTCTCTGATGCATAACAAGTGATTGCAAAGACCATGGCCTGTATCAGGCACACCTTAGTCTTCAGAGAGATACCGTTGCTCTTGAGCACTTTAGAGAGATCCCTAACAGCAGACTTTCCCATCGCAATACGTTTTTTTATTTCCAGGCTGCTGGTGCCAAGAGTGTTGACCGTGGAGCCGAGCAAACTGAAGCTGTGAACAATCTCAAGCTCTTCGCCATCCATCCTGATACTACCAATTGGTCCAGTGATGAGAACCTTTGCCTTCTTGACACTGAGCCTCAGTCCATACTGAAGGCTGCAGTCCTTGACCCTCTGCAGCAAGTGTATGAGGTCCTCCTCATTTTCAGCAAGCAGGGTTGTGTCATCTGCATAACACAGATTGTTAATAGATCTTCCACCAATCCTGACGCCACACTTCTCCTAATAGAGTCCAGCTTTTTTGATAATCTGCTCTGCATACAGGTTGAAAAGGTATGGAGATAGGACACATCCCTGGCGTTCGCCCTTCCCAATTTTGAACCATGCAGTGTTACCCTGCTCTGTTCTAACGACTGCCTCTTGGTCCAAGTATAGGTTTCGCATTAACACAATTAAATGTTCTGGGATTCCCATTCTTCTCAGAGTCAGCCACAGTTTGTTATGATCCACACAGTCAAATGCCTTTGCATAATCAATGAAACACAGATAGACATTCTTCTGGTATTCCCTGCTTTAAGCTAAGATCCATCTAGCATCAGCTACAATATCCCCAGTACCACGACCCCTTCTAAACCCAGCCTGGACTTTTGTCAGTTCTCCGCTGATGTGCTGTTCCAGTCATTTTTGGATAATCTTCAGTAGAATCTTGCTTGCATGTGAAATCAATGATATTGTTCTATAGTTTCCACACTCTGTTGGGTCACCCTTGTTTGGGATGGTAATAAATATAGATCTCTTCCAGTCAGTTGGCCAGGTGGTTGTTCTCCAGATTTCTTGGCACAACCTGGTGAGCACATCCAGGGCAGCAACTGTTAGCTGAAATATGTCAATTGTTATACCATCTATTCCTGGGGCCTTATTTTTTGCTCTTTCCTTCAAAGCAGCTTGAACTTCTTCTTTCATCACCATAGGCTCTGGCTCAAATGCTATTTCATGAAATTCTTTTGTATCTGCCAATTCCTTTCAATACAATGACTCAGTATATTCCTTCCATCTTCTTTTAATAACTCCTGGATCATTTAATATTCTGCCTAAAGCATCCTTGATTATAGCAACTCGACTGGTATTACATACTTAAAATAGAACATTTAAAGAAAAATAAAGCAGCACACATATTTTCCTTAAAGTTCAATAAACTAAAACGATAGAGAAGTAATAATTAGTAAAAATTAAAAATATATAATCCCTACTTGAGATGCAGAAAGAAATTCCGACAGTCTAGATGCAGGTGTGCAACTTATCATAGGCATATCTCACTCACTGTCGTCAAGGTAGAACTGATGCACAGCTGACTGGTTACTAAGACTGTAAACTGAACAGGACGAGATTGCTCAGTTTTCTCCCAAAGAGCCTCTGGTGGAGTTGAACAGCCAGAGGTGTGGTCAAAGGTATATCTATCAACCTCTAAAATCACTGCGGTGTTTTTACCTCAATTACAATACAGACCACAAGTGATGATTCACGTATATTCTTGTTCTAGAGCTTTACACAAACAGTGTTCCTTCCTCTTACCACCTCATCTCAACACCTCCCCCCCCTTTGCTTTAAATCACATGTCTTAGTCAAGCAAGGTTGTTTGGTAACTTCAGCACATAATCTGGCCTCTGTGTTCTTGGATAGACCTTAAGTCATCAGGATATTGTCTGTAAGGACAGTTGGGCAATGTGTCTCTGATACCTGTTATCTCACAGACTAGGATCTGAATGAGATGACCACAGGTGGGTGTACCCTCTCTTCTTCACTCTGTGTAATCATCAACCCCTTGTGTGTCAGACATATGTGTTTTACTGGGGGAGGTGAGAGGTACAAGTAGAAATTATAAAGTAAAGGAAGTTGTTCCAAACTTAATACCGAAATAAGAAAATTTGTCCCTTTGTAAGCATTTTTCAGTCTTTCTTTGGCTACCTATCTCTGTTTCCAGTGGAATATTAAAATTCTAAGCACCTTACCTATAGTCAGAAGAGGATAAAATAGATAAAGGAGACCTTTTAAAAAATCAAATCCCTGTGCACGTCAAAAAACTTCTCTAACAGGGTAAAAAGGAAACCTTCAGAGTGGGGGGAAAATATTTGGAAATGACATATCTGATAAGGGACTCACATTTGAAATTTATAGACCACTCCAGCACCTCAACAAGAAAAAGGAAAATACTCCAATTACAAAACAGGAACAAGATATGAAGAGTCACTTCACCAAAGAACAAATTCAGAGGGCCAACACACACATTAAGAAATGTTAAAAAAAAAAAACCCGTTCCAAATCCCTAGCTATTAGTCAGATACAAATCAAAACAATGACTTATCATCTCATCCCAGCAACAACAGCAAAGTTCAACATGGCAGCAAACAACAAATGCTTGTGAGGATTTGGAGATGGCAATTCTCCTTCACTGCTGTTGGGAATGGAAAATGGTACAACCACTATGAAAATCAGTCTGAAACTGTTTTAAAAAGTTGGAAACAGAAATACCATTTGGCCTAGGTACCCACTACTGAGAAAAAAATCCTAAAGAAATCAGAATCATGATGCAAACAGATATATGCACACTCATGTTTACAGCTGCATTATTCCAATAGTGAAGAGGTGAAAGCATTCCAAGTGCTTGTCAACAAACGAATGGATAGAGAAAACGACAGTACCTCCACTCATTATACAGCACTGAAAATGAAGAACTTGAAAGATACTACACAACATGGATGAGTCTGGAAGACATTATGCAGACTGAAATATCTCAGTCTCAAAAGGTAAATGTTGCATAAGACCATTGTTACAGAAATAGTATAGACACAATGGAGGGGAGAGGAGGAATAGGAAAAGAGAAGGACTATCTGAAAAGAATGGATGTTAGACATTATATGTATGACAATTAAAAATCTGGGAAAAAACATGCATTACAAAGTGAATTGGAGGATAAGGAGGGAGGAAAATGTGTATCAATGAATGAATGAAAACCCATCCTTTCTGTAAACGTTGCCTAAAATAAAAAAAAATTGCTAGTCAAAAAAGAATAGATAATACTTTAAGCATCTTAAAAGCTATATTTTAAGGGAGTTCTGTTGGCCTAATGGCAAGAAGCTACACTGCAATCCCAGAGGTATGTGGTTCAAATCCACCAGATGCTCTGCTGGAGAAGGAGGGGCAATATCCTCCAGTACCAGTCAGATCCGATTTGACAGTACACACACAAAATAATAAAATAAAATTTAAAAAAATTTATTGGTATTTTTTAATAATTTTAATGAACATTTACAGATAATTTGGATTTCCATTCATTCATTGCTGCACTTCTCTACCCACCCAACCCTCTCCCCCCGCCCCCAAAATAAAATAATTTTAAAAAAAAAATAAAATTGTATTTCATCCTGTAATTCTTCAGTATTTGTAATAGTACTTATTCTATTACCTCATACAATAAATTTATTTAATACAATTTGTTTTGTTCTAGTTTTTTGTTTGGTTTTCTTCTGTAATACAGCTTTACAGCAGAAAACATTACATTCTACAATCACATGCACAACTTAATCATTTCTATGTGGTTTGGAAAAAAACAATACCCATGCGTTACTGATACAATATTTAACCCAGGTTAGACTTTCAGGTTCAAAGTATTAAGCAAGCATTTAGAAATCGTAATAGAATTGAGAGAGAGACAGAGATAGTTTTTCTAACTTCCAGGTTTTCATGAAATAAGAGAATTTAAATATTCTGCAAATGAATTTTCTAACAATGAGATAAATCTTAGTACTGATTGATAATGTAATCAATAAGAAGAAAGATATTTTCAGCTGATTCTTTCCTAAAAAAATATTTGGAACAAAACAAAAAAGTAAAAACTTCTTATTTCTATTGCTTTGAGATAAACCATAAAATAATCTATTTGGTTGAAAGAGATAACCAAATTACCTGCTAATTTGCTTCTGTCTTCTCCTGCAACAACAACAATCCAGTCCCTTTGGATTGTGATTGCAGTAGCAGTACTGGCCAAATTTGCAATGTTTGCAATAGTGATTATCATGATATAACAGGACGTCTGGGGAGTTAAAAAAAAAGTTGTGTTAAGAACAGCAGTTGCCATAATTGACCCACCTGTCTCACGAAATAAGGTAGTTTTTAAATGGTCCTTTGTGACACAATAGTAATATTTGGTTTTAATTTCATTTCAGAGTAAGTAATCATATTCATTTGTACTTAGGAAAAATAAATATCAATGGTCAAGCCAAAAGACGTATAGCTTTCTTTTTTTGTATCATGTATCCATAAAACAAAAATTATAATAATAAGTACACATGTATGTAACATAGCTTATTAAAAAATATTAACATACTGGTAGTTTTCAACATTTTTTTCTGCAAGTACCTCTTCTAAAAAGAACACATAGAAGGAAATGAGAAAGCCTTTATTTAAATCAGATCTCTAATAACTTTCTACTTGTATGATACTAGACAATCAACTAATTTTACTTTGTCTTAGTTGTCGTGAACAACAAAATTAATAACTAAACTAGATTTCTATTGTTCTTCTTAGCATTGACTTTCTATAATATCAATCCTAATATGCATATAATATTCAACAGTAACATCAAACCCATTTTATTCCGCAGTACCATATCCTTCTCTTCAGCACGAGATATTATCACATTTAACATCCTCAAACAGAAATGTCACTCATTGTAAGAGAATGCAGTCATGACATATATACATAAATAAATGTATATATAAAATATTTCTTACAAAGTGTCAACAAATTAGTATTACAGGTAAAAACTAGCACAATATTTATTTATACAATAAATTTCTAGAAATACCATAAAAAGCCAAAAAGGCAAAATTTAATTCTAAGAAAATACTAAAAACTTGTCTGTTATAGGAGAAAACAATGTTGAGGGCATAAAAATAGTCGCAGATATCAATACTAAAGTTCGCATTTGCAAAAAGACACCTAACCTCTAAGGACTTTCCTCTTTTAGCACTGCCTGATGCTCCACTTTCTGGAATCAAGTATCTAATGGAGAACTTACCAGAACCCATCCATGATACATGGTCAGAAGCTCAGTTTTGTATAAGAAAACCATCATCAGGATTATTCCACACAGGATGACTGAAACATTCTGGACCACCAGTGAAGTCTGGGCCACTGCACAGAGGGAAAATTAAAGTGTTCACCTTGCTGAACGCCTTTGTAGGACTAGCCTTACATCAGTGTTCTACTACTTTAAATTACATGTCTATGAATCACAAGGGGGAAAAGAGGTTACTGGAATAAATCCTGCCTCATCTACCTTCCTCACTATCCCACCACCAGCCAGCACATCACATCGAACCAGTAAAACTTGCAAACTGGATGATAAAGACTCCACACTTTTTTACCTGAAATAATTTATAATGATGAAATTTTTGTTTAGTCTATTCTCTTGAAAGTTGACTGATATCAGAATTATTACATACACAAAAACTATTTTTTATCTACTTGTTTAAACATGTGTCTAGCTAAAACAAGAATACTTGGGAGGTTATACAGAAGGATCCAGTATCTACCTGACTGGCTTAATCCGATAAAATAGAACAGTAAATAGGAAAAGCAAAAATGCATCAAGAGTAAAGCTGCAGTGTGTTTTCTTTTGACCTACTAAGAAGTTCTAAGCTATACTTTTTTTCACATAAAGTAAGAGTGTTCATGCAGCGAAGCAACCATATGGATAAAGGAGTGGCGTAAATATAGGTGTGAACACCAGTAAGGACAACTGGTAGTCTTTTTTTGTCAACAGGAAGATGATGAGAGCTTTAATGACTATGACCATAAGGGTAATACCTGCCTTTCTTATTTTATAGGATCATTACAATGCTCAAATAAAATCCTGATGCAAACACCTTGAAAAATACACAGGATATGTAAAAAGTATCATTATAGTCTTGTCTTCAAGGATAATAAAGCTCACATAGGCTTGAAACATCAAATCAAAGCACCAATACAGATCAAAATGCATTTTGAAAGTGGTTCAGAATGAAATTCCAACATATAACTCATTCATTTATTCATGTACCAATTCATTGTTCTAGGATTAAATGTGAACCAAATGAGATTCTTAGTATCTATGAGTAGGAATCAAGCAAGTCAACAGAGTTATGAGTGCAAGTGCAATAGCAGAGGTATTAAGGGCTCATTCTTGTGGGTTCACAGGGGAAATAACCTAGGTTATTTTAACCTAGAGAAGGTGGCATATACACAAAAATAGACGGAGACAGCTATCCTGATACGCTCTTCTTCATCCAAATCACATTCTTTCCTAATCTACAATTCTACTATTCAACAATCACAAGGCTAAAGGCTCCGACGTATAATATTCCTATTTTCTTATGTGTGATCTAATAAATAAAACTTCTCCCACTCCCACCTAAACTACATAACATTTTTTTCTTATTTTTTTAACGTAACTTTTATATATATATATATCTATATATTTTATCTCTCTCTCTCTCTCTCTCTCTCTCTCTCTCTCTCTCTCTCTCCCTTTACCTCTACCTCTACCTCTGTCTATATCTATAATCTATCTCTCTCTTCTGGTCTTCGCAGTCACCTGTTATGCATCAGAGAGTTGGACAATGACCAAGGAGGATAGAAGGAGAATTGATGCCTTTGAGCTGTAGTGCTGGAGAAGAGTATTGAGAATACCATGGACTGCTAGGAAAACAAACAGATTTGTCCTGGAAAGGGTTAAACCGGGTGGCTCCTTGGAGGCAAGGATTCTGAGGCTCCGTCTAACATACTTTGGACATGTTGTGAGGAGAGACCGGTCCTTGGAGAGGGACATCATGCTTGGGAGGGTGGAGGGACGGCGCAGGAGAGGACGGCCCTCTATGAGGTGGATTGATTCAGTGACTGGGATAATTGGGATGGGAGTGTCAGAGACAGTGCGATTGGCACAGGACAGAGCGGAGTTTAGGACTGTTGCACATAGGGTCGCTATGAGTCGCAGGCGACTCGACGGCACATAACAACAACAACAACAAATCTCTCTCTTCTGCTCTACCCATTCACAGTCCAGAAAGATGTTTTTCTGGGCCATTATACTAACAGCATCATATCTTAGAATTTGATAATCCAGGGTGCTCTGCATCCAGGAGAGGTAATCAAAAGAAACTAACACTATCTCGATCTTTCCCCAGTATCTAAGGCAAACTTCTCAGGTATTGGCATGATCCACAGGTCAAATCAGGAAAATTTTTCTCTAAATAATTATCCATATTGCCCAATATCTTGGATAATTAAACTGCTCAATCACATTCTCCATGTCCAGTAGAAAATTGAATGATATTAGTTGTAATGCTCTACAACAGACGTTAATAATTATTTCTTTTTCTTCTTTAAGTATATTATAATTGAGGTCTTTCTGATACAGGCGCAAATATTCTGCTTTGAATCTATATTTAGTTTTCAATTCTCTCCACCACCACCATCACACACACAGACACTAAATGAAACATAGTTACCCAGAAGACAGATATTAAAGCCATTCTAAAAACATTACACCAGAGGAACTCATACTTAAGAAGGGAGTCAAAATTAAAATCTTTATTTAACCTAATTCCTAGAATATTGATAGGGTATGAATGATTACACACACAAAAAGAATTTCATCAATGTCACTAAATTGTATTATCTAGAAACTGTTGAATTAGTATCTGTTTTGCTTTGTATATTCTCAAAAAGAAAATTTTTTTAAAGACAAGGGCTAAGATAATAATCTTTAACATCTAGAATTTATAAACAGACAAATATTAAAAAAAATAAATTATTGGTTCAAATATCCTGGCATCTGAACTTTGTTAGAAGCCACTGAACGTCGAACGCTGTCACCAAGGACCCTATCCTTGGAGGCCAGGCATTCACATTAACTGAGTTAGTCACAGTGGTTGATCTTGGTATGTTTGTTCTTCAAACCAATTATTATAGAAGTAGCTCAGGTACTGCTCCCCTTCGGAACAAAAGCTTAGTTATAACAACACTCACCTTTCAGTCTGGCATTCTTATCCACCCAGTCACCAATGATGGCTCCCAGGACCAGAACCGATCCTGCCACCACCAGTCCGTAGACTGCAGTCAAGAGGAGGCTGTTTCCATACAGCTCTACCAGAAACACAGAGACTGCGAAGTGCCACATTCGATCTCCCTTGAATAAGAAAAAAAGAGGTTCTGATGAGATATTTGTTTTTTCTCATCTTAAGACAAGAAAGCAGGAAGTTGCTTTCTTATCAAAAGGGCACTTTGATTACAACACAAGGCTTTCAAAGTCAATTCTTGTATAGATTGAATAGTGCTAAAATGATTCTTCAAAGTACTTCCTACCACTATGGAAATTATTACTAAGTAATAACCATCATATTATCAAACGCACACACACTCAATATCATTCTAGAGACGACGTAGTTTCCTAAGGCAAGAAAAGGTTTTGAGACAAAATGTGTCAGATTTCTAGACTCAGACTCAGAACTTATCTGTCCTATGGTGACAAGCATTAAGTTCTTTGCTACCAAACCAGAACTAAATAACAGGGTGGTTGTTGCTATGTGCTGTTGAGTTGGAACTGAGTCATAGTTGACCCTCCAGTGATTTATTGGAGGCAATAAATTTCAGGGAAGAAGACTGTCCACCTCTCTCCTGAGGTGCAGCTGGTGGACTCAAATGTGGTTATGGATTGGTAGCATAACTCCTTACCATTAGGCTACCAGAGCTCCTTTTATAAGCATTGTTGTGGTTGTTAGGTGCCGCCAAGTAGAGAGTGGCTCACAGTAATCCTACAAACAACAGATCAGAACCCCGTCCTATCCTGGGCCATCCTCATCGCCTCCAACACACATAAGCCCATCACTGCAGTCAACGTGTCAATCTCTCTCATCAGCTGTCTTCCTCTCTTTCAATGACCCTGCATCTCCAAGCATGATGTCCCTTTCCAAAGAATAGCTTCAGTATGCCTTTAATATAAAGAAAAAGAGCCAGATGCTCAATTCATAAAGTGACAGGACTATATGACCTCTAAAGTTTCATTTTCTTCTAACCACCTAAAAATCAATGTTCTATTTAATAAGTAAATATCAGTTAGCCAACAGCACAGTGATTAGGAAGACAGGCTTAATATAAAGACAAATTCTGACACATAAAGAACCTAGGTGACAAAAAAAAATTAAATATATCTTTAACTTAAATGTATCACTTCTTATAATTTAAATGTAATATGTAATGCAGTTGTGTTCTAAAATAAGGGGGGCAATAAGTGTTTCTTCACATAGACTCCAGAGCATACAGATTTTAGGATTCATTACTACAAAATTTGGAATAAGTATAAAAGAAGCTTTTCAATTATTTATGTAAATGAGCATATAAGAAATTAATATAGTTGCCGTTGTTGTGAGGTGTCACAAGCTCAGCTATGACCCATAGAGAGCGAGTAACAAAAGACAGACACCTTACCCTGTTCTGTGCCATCCTCACAAACTCTGCCATCTTCAGACTCACTGTTGAAGTCACTGTATAAATCTATCTTGTTGAGGGTCTTCCTCTTTTTAATAATGAACCATAATAAAATGTCTTTAGGCTCTATATGTGGCCTCTCAGGCTAACTGACATCAAGAAGGACAGTAACATTTTTTTAGCAATTCATCTCTAGAAATCATTTCAGAAAATAGATTCTGAGACTGGGTTCCTTATCAATTTGATCCTCTGTGAAAGTTCTTAAACTCTTAGTTCTTTACAACATCTGTTAACATCTTGATAAGTTTAATACGTGGAAAGCAAGGTATTAACTCAGTGTGGCAAATGACTTTTACAAGTTAATAAAGGCAAATCTTAGGAACACAAAACTTAAACTGATGTACTTTAGCAAAGGTGTAAGTCCTGGTGACACAATGGTCAAGCACTCACTGTTAACTGAAAGGTAGGCAGTTGGAACCCAGCAGCCAGACAGAAAAGACCTGCTGTCTGTACCCATAAAGATTACAGAATAGGAAATTCTATGGGGCAGTTCTACTCTGTCATAGAAAGTTGCTACCAGTCAGAACCTACTTGATAGCAAGCAAAGTAACAATCCTGCAAAATAAGTTTAGTATAGGCCGAGAGTTCTCAACAAGGAGCAGTTTCATCTGATAGGGATCACTTGGCCCATGAGGTCATTTTGAGTTGTCATAGCTACACGGGATTTCTATTGGCATTTATTTAAATATGTCAGGGGTGTTACTGAACATCCTTACAATGCAAAGGGCACACTCCTACAACAGTGAATTAGCCAGCCCAAAACGTCAACAGTGCCAAAGCCGAGTAAGGATGTTGTAGAGAATGACGAATTTAGTTTTGAAACACAATTTAAAATTAACAAGATTAGGACTGTAAAGGATGGGGTGGCTATGGTCAAGTACACATTAAAACAAACCAAAAAATCAAGTTTGAAAGACCAAGACACTCTTGATGGTCTGGAACTGAGAACAAGCTCTGGAACTGAGTACACTCTCAGTCCTCAGCAGTGTTTTAACATGACCAGAGCACAGGCACAGCAAATATTTGTGGCATCAACAAAGGAATAATAGTCAGATGTTCAGTGTATTCCAGTTGTGAAATGAGTCAATATAGAAGAACTAGAGAGAAACAAAAGCTGATAGTGTCATCCTCTCATTTATGACTCCTAGGTGACACTCCATTTAGGTTTCTGAAGCTGTAGAGGCTGTAAATCCTTTGGGAAGAAAATGCCCCTCTTTCTCCTTTTGATTCAAACCACCATCAGAGGCATGCCCTTTGGGTTAACAGCACAACTCCTCCCTACAGAGACTGCACCCCTAACAACGATATTGTTCTGTTTGGGTTATTTTACAAACATTTAAGTGGTTTGAGAACAAATCAATATCATGATTTAATAATTCCCAGATTTTACTTTTTAGCTTGATTTAATAAAAAAGTGACTAAGAAGGTCTGTATATAAAATTTAAGTAGAAATTGAATGAGACTCAAATATCATTGTACTAAATGACAAAAAAAGTATATACTGTTGTTATTGCTGGGTTTTGCAAGTACAATACATAGTGACCCTGTGAACAACAGATCTGAACCCTGACCCTGTGCCATTCTTATCATATCAACACACTTGAACCCATTGTCACAGTCACTGTTTGATTCCATCTCACTAAGGGTCTTCCTCTCTTTTACTTTCCTTCTACCTCTCCACGTATAAAGCTCCTCTCTAAGGCACAGCTTCTCTTAACAACACGCCCAAAGTATGTGAGACAATGCTTTGCCATTGCTACCTCCAAAGAGTACTCTGGTTGCACCTTCTCCAAAACATATTTGTTCTTTTGGTAGTCCATGGGATATTCAGTACTCTTCTCCAACACCACAACTCAAAGGTATAGATTCTTCTCTACATTCTTAGTCATTGTCCAGTTCTCAGATGCATAATAAGCAACTGAAAAGACCATGGCCTGGATCAGGAGCATCTTAATCTCAACACTAACATCATTGTTATTTAGCCCTCAGGAGAGGTCCCTGACAGCAGACTTTCCCAAAAGAATTCGTCTTGATTTCCTGACTACTGGTGTCAAAAGTTTTAATTGTGGATCTAAGCAAGATGAAATCATTAAAATCAATCTTTTTTCCATATATCATGATACTGCCTACTGGCCTTAGTGGATAGAACCTTTGTTTTCTTGATGTTGAGGAGTAATCCATCTTGGAGGCTGCGGTTCTTGAGCTTCTATGCAAACACTTCAAGTCCTCCTCAGTTTTGGTGAGCAATGTTGTATTTATATGCATAACAAAGGTTGTTGATGAATCTTCCTCCAATCTTGCCTGGTGCCACATTCTTCTTCATAAAGTCCAGCCTCCAAAATGATCTGTTCTACATATAGATAATAAGGGATGGAATAAAGATACATCCTTGACCCACTCCTTTTGTGATTTTGAAACATGTAATGTTCCCTTGCTCTGTTTGTACAACAGCTCCCTGGTCTTGGAATAGGTTTTGCATGAGCACAATAAAATATTCTGGAATTCCCATTCTTCTCAATGTTAACCATAATTTTTTTGTGATCTACACAGTGAAATGCCTTTGTATTGTCAAGAAAACACAAATAAATATCTTTCTGGTACTCTCTGCTTTCAGCCAAGATTCATCTTACATTGGCCATCATGGCCCTAGTGCCATGGCCTCTTCTAAATCCAGCTTGTATTTCTAGCAGTTCTCTGTCAATGTACTGTTCTAATTGGTTTTAGAGATAAAGATATCAGCAAGATTTTGCTTGTGTGTGGTATTAGTGATACTGCTCAATAGTTCCCATGCTCTGTTGGGTCACCTTTTTGGGGAATAAGAATAAATATGGATCTTTTCCAGTCAGTTGGCCAGGTAGCTGTCCTCCAGATTTTTTGGCACAACCTTGTGAGCACATCCAGGGCCACATCTGTTTGTTGAAATATGTGGATTGGTATCCCATCAATTCCTGGGGTTTTATTTTTTTTGCCAATTCCTTCAGAAAAGTTTGAAATTCCGCCTTTACTACCACTGGTTCTTGATCATATGCTACTCCATGAAATTGTTCTGTGTCAGTCAATTATTTGTGGTACAGTGACTCTGTGTATTCCTTCCATCTTCTCTTGATCCCTCCGTGACCAAATTTTCCAAAGGGACTAACTAAAGAAGAAAGAGATTCTTTGAAAAGTAAAAGAAAAATTCTTTCATTGTTATACAATCTCTCCCCCCAAGTCCACTCCACTATGCTGTCTTCATTCTGGACTCCTATCATGACAATAATACCTAATCGTATATACCTTTTAGACAGTTCTCTCCCTCAACTGTTTCAATACAGTATACTTTATTTATCCCCTCTTTTTCAGTCTCCCCCCAACCCCTATGTCAGTCCTCTTTTGTAACTGTGGCATTATGCAGTATTTGTTAAAGAAGAAAGAGATTCTAAATTCACAAAGAATCTGGCAGAGGTTCATTTAATGCAATCTCAAGCCTACTCATTCTTTCCTTATTTCCGTTGCAGCCTTGCTAAAGGCTCTCACCCTACTTTGATGATTTGTTTACAGATTTACCCATACTGAATTGAAACCAGAATACCAGATAACTATCTCTGAGTGAAATATTGTGGCCATCAATCTATTGTTAGGTCATCAGTCTACTTACTAAATACAGAAAGGCAACTATGACCCATTATGGCTGAAGGCACTGGAGTTTTAGCAATCAATGAAAATCATGAAGCTATCAGAGACCAAAACCAAATCATTATTAAGTTGTTGTCACTGTTATTGTTGTTATATGCCAAGTAGTCTGCACCAACCCATAGCTGACCCTCCACCTTTGCAAACATGATTTTCTTTTCCAAGGACTGGCCCCTCCAAACATGCCCCAAGTATGTGAGATAAGCTTCATCATCCCTGCTTCCAAGGAAAGCCCTAGCTACACCTTCTCCAGGCCATATTTTTTGTTCTTTTGCAGGAATATTCAGTACTCTTCTCTCACACCACAACTGAAGCCACTGGTTCTTCTATCATTCCTGGTCTTGATCATCTTTCAGATGCATGTCAAGTAATTGCAAAGACCATAGAAATGGCTTGACTCAGGTGCACTTTAATCTTTAACCTGACAACATTGCCCCTTTACACCTTGGAGAGGTCCTTGAGGATAGAGTTTTCCACTGCATGATGTCTTTTATTTCTTGACTGCTGATATCAAGGGTGTTACACTGTCATTGTTGTTAGGTGCTATCGAGTTGAATATGACTCATAGCAACACTATGGACAGGCACACTAAAACCTCCCCTTATCCTTTGCCATCCTCATATCCCACCCATTGCTGAAGTCCCAGTGTCAGTCTATCTGGTTGGGGGTCTGCCTCTCTTTCATTGGCCCTTCATCTTTCCAAACATGATGTCCCTTTGCAAGGAATAGCCTCGCCTCATTACATGTCCAAAGTATAAAAGACGAAGTTTTGTCATCCTTGCCTCCAAGTAACACTCTGACTACACCCATTCCAGGATTTATCTGTTCTTTTGGAAGTCCCTGGGATATTCAGTACTTTTCTCCAGCACCACAACTCAAAGGAATAAATTCTTCTTCTGTCAGCCTTATTCATTGTCCAGTTCTCTGATGCATAGAAGGTGATTGAGAAGATCATGGCCTGAATTAGGCACACCTTCATCTTCAAACTGACACCACTGCTCTTCAGTATTTTAGAGAGTTCCTGACTGTAGACTTGCCCAATGTAATACATCTTCTGATTTCTGATGGCTGGTACCAAGGGTGTTGATTGTTGATCCAAGCAAGATGGCATCATTAACAGCTTCAATATTTTCTCCATCTATCATAATGTTGACTGTTAGGACTGTGGTGAGGATCTTTGTCTTGATGTTAAAATGTAATCCATACTACAGTCCTTGATCTTCTGCCACAGAAGTTTATATCCTACTCACTTTCATCAAGCAAAGTTGTCATCAGCATAACATAGTTTGTTATGAGTCTTCCTCCAATTCTGATACCACACTCCTCTTCAGAGTCTGGCTTCATGAATTATTTGCTCAGCATACAGACTGAGTAGGATATTGCATAGTAAAGCACAGTAAAATGGTATTGATTGACTGGCAGAGAAAACTTAAATTAGGAAGAAAAATCATGTAATCAACCACAAATCTAATCGAAGATAACATTCTGTGCTGACATATGGTCAGTATGTGGGAAACGATGATTTAGCCTAGGCAATACACAGATAGCTAAATGTATTTAAATATACTAATCTACATACTTTTATTGCTAGAAAAGTTGGCTGAATGCTAAGTAAGAGACAAAACCTAAGGGTGGGATTACCTGGAATAAGAGTGTATTGCTCCTTTTGCTTCCCATTGCAGTGAAAAAAATCCAAGTTCACTAAATGTCTATAAACTCATTGCCATCAAGTCAAAATTGACTCATATCTAACCCTCCAATGGGCTTTCTGAGGCTGTAAATCAAGTGGGACGAGTTTGCCACTCTTTTTCCCTCAGTGCCACTGGTGGATTTGAACCATCAGAGAGGTACTTCCTTTCAGTTAGCAACACAACTCAATTTGGACCATGACAATCAGAACACCCCTACACTGTATATAACTCAAATCAGTTCATTGCCATAGGGTTTTGATCATTTATAATTGACCTTCTAGCAGGTTTTCTGAGGCTGTAAATCACCTGGGAGGAGATTGGCCATCAATTTCCCCAAGTTAATGGTGGACTTTAACTGTCAAAGGTGTTGCCTTTGGGTTTGCCACACAACTCCCTACAGACTACTTCTTAAGTGGTGTTTTTGTTTGTTCATCAAGCCAGATGCAAGAAAAATTGCATCTAACTTTCCCACAGGAGCTTCCTTTGCTTCCTTAAGGGTTTTATTTATCCTAAGAATGTCACTTCTCACTTTTCTTGTGAAACTTTCAGCATGTGAAAGTACATGCTGAAAATTTTTCCTAGAGCTGCACCCATTTCTGCCAAATTTGACTTCCCAGTCCATTAGGCAAATTTTAATCAGTTTTCATAAGTGAAGAACCTTCTTACTCTGACCACATACTTAGAATTTTGCACACTGTCTAGACCATTTGTTATTGGTCTTAATATTTAACCAGTTCCAGCCAAGTTGCTGAGTCATGGTGGCCCAACGCCTTTACAAAGTAGAAATATAATCCATAAGGTTTTCATGACTAGGACTTTTTGAAAAGAGATTGCTGAACCTGTCTCCAAAGCACTTTGGGATGGGTTCAAAATATCAACCTTTTGGCTAAAGGCTGAGAGCTTAAGTATGCTACCAAGGGTCTCCTCTTAATACTTAACACTTAGTAAATTATATTTCTCAGAACCAATCTGATATAGATTTATTAAGGGTAGCTTCATCAGATTTCTACTTAGAATCAACAGCCATTTGAAACAGAAACAACTCACATAAATTCTACTGTTTACCTTCTTTTGCAGTCTTCCTTTGTCTAAGCCTCTTTCCAAATATCTATGAACCACTTTTTTAGATAGTAAAAAAACTAGCTTAGCAATTTCCCAAGAGCAGGAGTAGGGATTTCTTCACATAATAGCTGTATACAAGTCTTAAGAATAATCCAACAAATGTTTCTAGTTTTTTTTTAAAAAAATAGCATTCACAAAATTATCTCTACAATTCCTCCTTAAGATTCTTTTCAAGTACATATTACCTATGCAGTGTGAATATTATATGCCCAGATATATATTTTAAACAAGAAATGTCATTGTTTAATTATATTAAATTAAAACTATAATATTTTAATAATAATTAAATACATGTTAAACATCTTTCTGAAATTATTCTTTTTTTCTTTAGTTTTAGTTGGTAAAGGAATCCACCAAATGGACTGAGATTCTTCCAAGACCACACAGGAAGTCAGAGGGAGAAGTGGGAATAGGTTGCTGATTTGCCCCACACTGCTGATAGAATTTTCAAAGGCTAAAATTTTTGTCATTCAGGTATTTCTTGTTGAGGTCATATATATTTGATTGTTGAGTGTCATTATTAGCCTGCAGTAACAAGTCTGTCAATCCACTATTCTACCATATTTTACTAAAATAAAATTTCAACAAAAGGAGAAAATAGAGCAATACCTTAAATTGTAAAAGAGTAGAAGGTAGCTCATATCCAGTTGTTATTAGTAGTAGATATTACCATTTACTAAGCTTAATAATGTAATACATAATCTAGAAATAATGTAAATATCCTTATCCTTATCATCCTGTCTTTGGTTATTTTTCAATCTATATAACTTTTTTTTTTTTTTTTTGGACTGCTAGGACTGCTAGGAAAACGAACAGATTTGTCCTGGAAAGGGTTAAACCGGGTGGCTCCTTGGAGGCAAGGATTCTGAGGCTCCGTCTAACACACTTTGGACATGTTGTGAGGAGAGACTGGTCCTTGGAGAAGGACATCATGCTCGGGAGGGTGGAGGGACAGCGCAGGAGGGGAAGGCTCTCTATGAGGTGGATTGATTCAGTGATTGGGATAATCGGGATGGGAGTATCAGAGGCACAGGACAGAGCAGAGTTTAGGGCTGTTGTACATAGGGTCGCTATGAGTCGGAAGCGACTCGACGGCACATAACAACAACAACAACAACATATAACTTTTAGAGGAGGGAAGGTTTAGTTTGTTTGTTTGTTTGTTTGTTTGTTCGTTTGTTTTAAAATAACATTACTGGGAACACCCCTTTGGTGGAAATAACTTTTTTGTTATTTTGTTGGATGATTTCTTTCTTTAACCCCACGACAAAACTAGACACTGGGTTAATGCAATTGGCCGGCATGAAATTGTGCAACATATGTTGTAAGAATTACTCTGCATTCTCACTTACCCAGGTAGATAGAGAGTGGCCAAGGTAGAGAAGGAATTTTGCAGAGGTCAGGAATTTTGCGAAAGATCCTGCAAAGGTATACAAGGGGAAAGGTAATAAACAAATTTAGTTAATGGATGAGCTGAAAGGAGTCCTGGTGGCGCTCGGGGCTCAACAAAATGAAGTCTCTGTCCTACAAGGTCTGTATGTTGTGGCTGTTCTGTACCAAGGATTCAAAACTATCTCGCAGCTGAGCCTTCAGCGGGTTTTCAGAGGCTGTACATCACACAGGAGGTTACCTATCTCGCAGTGCTCAGAGCAACTGGTGTACTGAAAGGTACAGCTTTGATCTGGCTGTGCAACTGCTTACCACTAGGCCCACAGAGCATCCGGAAGCATCTGTATGAGTAGGACTCAACTTATCAGCAATGGTTTGGAGTTGTTGTTTTGGGTTTATTGTTTGGAGTGATCTGGGGTCGGAATGCTTCATCAATCATTTTTACTTTTTTAAAAAATGATCATTCACTCAACTCATTGCTGCTGAGTAGGAACTGACTCACAGCTGACCCTCCAGCGGGTTTCCGGAGGCTGTAAATCACCTGTGATGAGATTGCCCATCTTTCTCCTGCAGAGCCTCTGGTGGATTCAAAGGCTGGAGGGAGAGGTGCCTTTTGGTTAGCATGCAATGCCCCAAGGCACCAGAGCTCCCTGCTTATTAATAATGTTGTGCAGTCAACATGCACATTTTCTTACTTGCCTAAGAACGGATGTTTAATGAACTACCCACTTAAATTCAACATTTCCTATTGGTCAACAATTGCCTCACAAAGCTCTTGTTTCAACATCCTTTCACTCCATTTCTTGCACTAGGCAATCCGGCCTGCCCAACGCACTCCTTCCCATCCTTGCCCTGGGTGCAAAACACCTTCCCCACATCTTTCCTCAAACCCTCCCCCCGAAAAAAGAAAAGAAAAAAAAAAAAACCCAACCACTAACCATTCCTGCTGACAGCTGAACAACATTACCCCAAAACCTGTGAGGCGGAATTGTCTCCAAAGTTCACAACATCCCTGGGTTTCCACAACATGCATTTCAGTCAACACAACTCACCACAACATCCTCTGCGGTGGTTTTCATCTCTTGAGCCGCTCATGGCACCAGGAGCCCCCTGCTCGCACTTCTGCTGCTGTGGCTGCTCTGCTCTGCTGAGGTGCTTGTTGTTATCAGGAGTGCAAAGAACAGAATATAGCACCACGAAAATCACAACAGCTGAGTTTCCAAAGACCCCCAACGACAGCTATGGCAAATAAAAGAAAAACGGCCCAGGGGTCTCCTTTATGGTCTTCTTTCCAAACTTAGCTAACACTGTAGCTGAAGTTGGAAAGGGAAAGCCTTATAGAAGCTGGGTGAGTGGGCTCGCAGCTGCCCGAGACGAGCAGGGCGCCCAGTTCTTCCCGCCGCTGTGGCTACCGCGAGCCTGGCTCCGCACTTATACCGGGCCGGGGGCGGAGCTCCCTCCTGCCACTCGGGGCCGCCCCCTCGCCTTGGGGCCACCCCCTCTCCTTGGGGCCACCCGGACGTCTCCGCAGCGCGCTCCGCGCTTCCTCCGCCCGTGTGCACTGTGCCGCCCTCCAGCTCCGGCCAACAGGAGACGGCCGCCCGGGGCGCAAGCGTCCGACTAGCCGCGAACCTGAGCGGCCTGCGGACGCCATCGCCCGGGCCCGCTCCCCCGGCCGGCTGTTTCCGCCAACCAGAAACCTCGGGAGGGGGCTCATGGAGGCTGAGGGGGCCTGACGAGGGAGGAGGGTGCCTGAACCCCACGAGGAGCCGGTGGAGAGGTTGTACGCGCAAAGCAGCAGGTGTCTGAGGATAGCGCTTCGCGTCCGCTACCTGAGAGCTCCAGGGAGCCGGCAGCCGCGGACGGACGCTGAGCAAAGGATCCAGCCCGAGGGTGGGGGCTCCTTTGAAAAATAGATAAACTACATCAGGCTTCGTAGATGCACAGCTAGAACTCATTCTACAGGGGTCTTTTTCTCAGCTTTTCAATGCCAGCCCACCTGCTGCCGAGAATGCCTTCCCTTCCCTGGGCGGCAGAGTAAGGTTCCCCTCAGAGAGACTCAAAAGGGAGGGCGTGAAAATAAGAATCCAGCTCTCCACGCGGGAGCAAACCCAGGCCTGAAAAGCCACAAGATAATGACCCACTCCAGGACAAATGTCAGACTGCCAGATCTTCCCTGAAGATGCAGGGAGGAGGAAACATCCCAAGCATTTCCCTTCACCATCGTCCCTTTTACACCCCCTTTCGCTCCAGGCGTCTCCTCCCCACCTGCCCTCCAAATGCCTCGCTATCTGACAAGTTACCTGCAAGACTGGTTATCCCAGTTGTCTCCCGGGGATTGTCCCTCTCCAGATAAAATCATTTGGTCACCTCCTGAGGGGCAAGAGAGTGACTCAAAGACCACTGCAGTTATGCTTCCTAGGATTTTTTCCTCCTGCTATGCCTTAAGCAGTCCTATTGCCCGTCTCAATCTCGTCAAAACCCCAGGAGCAGATGCTACACATTGACACTCCGGCCAGATCCCATTCCTTGGTGCTCAGGGACTGACTTTCCAGTGAAGGGAAATATGCTTGAATATATGCCCTGTATCTATACTCCCATCAGGAGCCCCATAGGTCTGCAGCGGGGGCGGGGTGCTGCTGGATTCCGTTGGCATGTGGTCTGGAGGGTAGAGATAGGGAATTTACAGTTTAGCTACTGCTGTTAACTACTATTTTTCCTTTTCAAGAGCTCTCCTCCCTCCTTCATTTTACACAACACACCAGTTTCTTACAGAGGGATTTGAGTTATTTTCTGAACTTAAAGAGTAGGGTCTTGAGTCCATACATCTGTGAGAAGTCCTCTGAAGCACATTCAAATAAGGTATCTGCCAAGGAGAGAACTGATAAATTAGACTTTGCCACACTATGAAGATCTGGTAGTGGAGATGAACTTTGAAAGGTCTCCAAATAAGGCACAAAAACTAATGAAATCTTGCCACCAATCTCTTAGCAATAAGGACCTCAAAATACTCTGCATTAATTATTACATACTACAAGAATTAATGCTGTGCTGTCCCCAACTTCCAGGTGGCTAAATGGAAGGTCATCTGTTCATTTTAATTTTTTTAAGTTTCCTCTGATGCTTGATGATGATGGCTAAAAAGTGGTTGTGGGAATGGAACAGTGTATGCTTAAACCAGTATACACTTCAGAGTGCAACATATGGTCTGTCTTTTACCAAGGAATTCTCAGGAGCCAAATCTAAAAAAAAGAACTGATGAGACTTCAGTGAATTATGATAAAGATATTTTGGAAAAAGATAAGCCAGATCATAAACTCAAAGGCAGTAGGGCATTTCTAAGTCCTAATTAATGAGAAGAATCAGATATTAAATGGGAGTCATGAAATGAAAAGGAACTAAGACTAGATAATATTCTCTAGAATTCAAAAACCACAACTTTTTGTCAGTGTAATCATAACCAAGAAAACCATATAGTTTTGAATTTGTTTACTAAAATATAGATACCTTAAAGGGTATTTTCAAGTTTGAAAATGACAATATGTTAACCAATTTTTAAAGAATTTCAATTAGAGTAAAGGTACATATAAAATCTAATGTCTATATTTTTCCTAATTTAAAATAGGTAACAAGTTCTTGTGGTTAAGAAGTAAAAAGGAGTTTTATTATTTTGTTTTATTCTTAAATTTCTTCTTTACTTACTTCATATGCTTCCCAAGTCTCCTCCACTGTATCTGCAGAACTCACCAGAATAAATACAGAATAGAGAATGGTTTTAGATAGGGCAGGGTTCGGAGCTATTGTTCGTAGGGTCACTATCATCGTCAACCCGACAGCACACAACCACCACCATTACATTGCTCCAAGAAAAGTAATAGGATTATCATCAATTATGACGGGAAGAGCTCAGATACAGGAGAGAGCTTTTGCTGGCTGTTGAATTTTTTAGACTCCCATCTCACTCATGCTGTTGTTATGTACCTTTGAGTCAGAATCAACTCATAGCTGACTAACCAGCAGATCACACAGTAGAAAGAAGATTGCCCATTATTCTCCCATTGAACAGCAGGGTTCATTCAAAACATGTGCCTTTGAATAGGCAGTGCAACTTTTTACCATTAGTCCACCAAAGCTCCCTCTAACCCAACTTCTTATTGTAGTGTTCAAGTCAGAACCAACCCACAGCTGACCCGCCAGCGGTTTTTCAGAGGTAATAAATCACATGAGGCTTGGGAGCAATTGCCCATCATCCTGTGGAGTTATAAAACTACTTTTCCAGCTATGCATCAGAGAGTTGGACAGTGAATACGAAAAATAGAAAGAGAATTGATGCCTTTGAGCTGTGGTGCTGGAGAAGAGTGTTGAATATACCATGGACTGCTAGGAGAACAAACAGGCTTGTCCTGGAGAGGGTGAAGCCAGAATCAAGGATTCTGAAGCTCCATCTGACATACTTTGGGCATGTTGCAAGGAGGAATTGATCCTTGGAGAGGGACATCATGTTTGGGAGAGTGGATGGACGGTGCAGGAGAGGAAGACCCTCGATGAGATGGATGGATTCTGTGAGTGGAGTGGTGGGAATGAGTGTGTTTGAGACGGCGAAGTTGGCACAGGACAGAATGGCATTTAGGACTCTTGTACTTAGGGTCGCTATGAGTCACAAATGACTTGATGGCACATAACAACACAACAACAACCATTCAGAAACCTTTCCTATATTAAGGACATATGTCATGAATTATTTTGACAAATTGATAACCTGTGACCTTCTGTACTCTTGAGAAATTAAGATTAGACACCTAATTTAAGTTACAAACACCTGATAGAGCAGTAGTATCTTTCTTTATTTTAATACTGAAATAGATTTGATATGAATCTTCGCAGAAAGCAGAGAATACCAGAAGAATGTCTATCTGTGCTTCATTGACTATGCAAGGGCTTTTGACTGTGTAGATCACAACAAGCTGTGGCTGACTCTGAGAAGAATGGGAATCCCAGAACATTTAATTGTGCTAATGCAAAACCTATACTTGGACCAAGAGGCAGTCATCAGAACAGAGCAGGGAGACACTAGATGGTTCAAAATCAAGAAAGGGGTCCGTTAGGGATGTGTTTTGTCTCCATACCTTTTCAATCTGTATATGAGACGCTGGACTGTACAAGGAGGAATGTGGCATCAAGATTGGTGGAAGAATCATCAACAGCCTGAGTTATGTGGATGACACAACCCTGCTTGCTGAAACTGAGGAGGCCCTCAAGCGCTTGCTGCAGAAGGTCTAGGACTGCAGTCTTCAATATAAATTGAAGCTCAACATCAAGAAAACAAAGATTCTCACCACCGGGCCAATTGGCAGCATCAGTATGGATGGTTAAGAGATTGAGATAGTTAACAGTTTTAGGTTGCTTGGTTCCACAGTCAACACTCTTGGTAACAGCAGCCAGGAAATCAGGAGACTAATTGCATTGGGAAAGTCAGCTGTGAGGGACATCTCAAGAGTACTGAAGTGCAATGACATCGGGCTGGAGATTAAGGTGCGCCTGATCCAGGCTATAGCCTTTGCAATTACGTGCTATGCATCAGAGAGTTGGACAGTGAATAGGGATGATAGAAAGAGAATTTATGCCTTTGAGCTGTGGTGCTGGAGAAGAATGTTGAATATACCATGGACTGCTAGGAAAATAAACGGGTTTATCCTGGAGAGGGTGAAGCCAAAATCAAGGATTCTGAAGCTCCGTCAGACATACTTTGGGCATGTTGCAAGGAGGGACTGATCCTTGGAGAGGGACATCATGTCTGGGAGAGTGGAGGGACGGCGCAGGAGAGGAAGACCCTCGATGAGATGGATGAATTCTGTGAGTGGAGTGGTGGGAATGAGTGTGTTTGAGACGGTGAAGTTGGCACAGGACAGAATGGCATTTAGGGCTCTTGTACTTAGGGTCGCTATGAGTCACAAGTGACTCGGTGGCAAATAACAACAACAACAATAGATCAAGCTTCTAAAGTTCCAGCAAAGGGACCAGTGCTTGGAAAAGTTCATCATTCTTAGAAAAGTAGAGAATCAGCAAAGGAAAAAAAGACCCTTAGTGAGATGGATCAGTGACATCTAATAACAATGACAAAGTTTTGCAAGAATGCTCTCTCCCTGTGTCTCTCTCTCGCTCTTTCACACACACACCCCATACATACCACCACACACACGCACACATGTACACTTAGCAGCCTACAACTTCTGGATGGAAAATTAAATGCAGAATTCACAAACTTTCAAAAGAAATATGTTCCTGAAGCATACTTCTAGATTCAGAAAGAAAGATGAAGATAGATATATAGATATGGTAGTTGTGATGGACTGAGATAGTGAGTTTGAGGAACAAACTTTGGAGAGGAATGAGAAGGAAGGAA